CCTCCGTTACCCACCCGTTACCGAGACACTGAAACGGGTCGTGCTATAATGTGTGTAATATTACTCATAGTCCAGGCACCTGGCGCTCATCTTCTTTACTCACACATCGTCTACTTATCCCTGCATAAGGAGGCTTTTGCGGTCTTCGGCGGGCACCGCGGGATGCATGTGGTGAAGGCAGACTCAATTGTGATGTATGGGTCCGAGGCCATTGAGGCGACTTGGCCGCGGGCGCGGGTGCCTTTCCCGTCCCCGCTCGGGGTACGTTCCTGGTCAATTATACGCTCCACTGTCGTGCCTCCGCCTCCGGCTCGAGAAATGGGGTACTCATTTTGTCACGGCGGACGGCACTTGGATCTAGGATGCCGACCGGTATATCATTAGATGTCCGAGCGGAGGCGGAGACTTATAATTAAGAGCTCCGACAACAGCATATAAGGACTCCGACGTCGACCTCATGATCCACGCGGACACCAGCGGGGATGACAGTACCTTTACCTTCTCGGTCTATTCGGTCGCACACTCAGCGCCTAGCGCTCGGTACTTGACGTGTTAATCGTGGGTTTTTATTCGTAGCTAGGTAGGTAGTCCGTTGCGTGCAAACGCCAATCAAGGTCCGTCGAAAACGCGAAGGTGGGTAAAGGGGGAGGGGGGAGAGAAGCGGAGTATTATACAAGGGAATAAGGATATAGTAAAGTAGGTTATAAACGACGCCAAAGGCCCAACAGTCAGTGTGCGAGAAGGGAGGAAGAGTGTCCGGGATGCAGGGGGTATGAGGCGTTGAAGGGGGGATCGGGGGTAAGCAAGAGATAGCGTACGCGGAGCGGCATAATCGGCGATGCAAGAGTGTCCGTGAGGCACTATGAACGAAGAAAGCAAATGTCAAGGTCCGAGATCGAGAAGGGGAAGGAGAGGAATGGGAAGTCTGTGTCCGTCCAGGCGGCGAGAGAATGAATGGTAAACAAGGGGGATTAGTCCGTCGAGGCTAGTATGCAAATGAAGTAATGGTATGAGTCAGTGTGTCCGTGAGGCACGATGTGATGAGAAGATAGTCCAATGTGCAAAAGGAGAATAATTGTCTGGTTGCAAGCAAAGCGAGGTCCATGGCGTGGAAAGCGGAAGATAACAAAGCCAGGGAGCGGATGTGGTAAATGATGCGACGGAACTGGGGTAGAGAGCGTCGTGGCGGACGTGATCAACGTGAGTGCGTTGGAAGGCATGGATAGGTAGCAGTCAGATGATAGTCAGCGTTGCGAGAAGTCCAAGTGCAAAGGTCCGTTCAGAAGTCCGATGGGGTGCAAGAATGTCCAAGATAACAAATCAGAAAGCAAAGCGTGTCCGTCAGAGGCGCGTCGGCACGTTGGGGGACTAGAAATACAGCTGTAAAACTTTTGGCCATTTGAGTTTAGGATGGGGCGTGTTGTGGGGTGCGCATCTGTCGGGTCGGTTGCGTTCAAATTCGGGTCGGCGTAACTGGTTGCCGATGCTTTCATGCCATTATTTTTCTCCGTGGTCCTGAATAAGTGTGTGCATGCATCAAATATTCGGAATCATCCTCTGTACGCGAGCGATCTGGAAGCCTATCAGGTGGTCAGCACGGCCTTCAATGTATCGATCAAGGGCAAGTGAGGCCGAAATTCATTTGGCGCATCGATGACGACGCGGGCGGGTTGGGTGAACAGAAGAGACGACAGAACGTACCGATTAGCGGGAAGCGTACGTTGAGCCTCGACATTGCTCCGAGCAAGCTGGAGATTTGAGCGCGCGCATCAGACGAGTTGACGGCGGCCCATGCTTCGACACGCGATATCTCACGCGCAAGCACACTTGCACACGCGGCGAAGCAGCTCTAAAAACATAGCGCGTCAGACTCAAAGTTCATACGCGCGGCAGGGCAGAAAGGCGTGAAGCGGAGGCAAAGCCGGAGAAACACGACACGGGTTGCCTCCGCGAGAACTGAATGAAGGGGCCAGGAACTAAGACGCACCCCTACAATCGGATCAAGCATGTCTGCCTCCTCCATGTCGTTCGCCGCGCGAGCGACGTACGTGCCGGCCCTGGCAGCGAGGAGGCACGCCTCGTGCGCCCTGGCGTCGCCGGCGCCGGCCCTTGCGTAGTGCATCTGAATCCGAGCGTACGCGACGAGAGCATGTGTCTCGAGAAGCGGGGCGCGATCCTGCTCGCGTACAGCCTGCAGCTGTCCCAACGGGAGGAGGGCAGCTTCGAAAGCGCTGAGCATGCCCTCCAATGCGTCGGTACGCGTCGCCTGAGCAGGCTCATCCAGCATGCTCTGCAAGCCTGGGAGTCCATCAGCGCCTGACCAAGGCGACTACGTGAGACAATACGTACCAGTATCCCAAGATGCAGACAAAGCGGTAGCAGCATCGAGGAGGGCGGCGGCTTTGGCACGAAGCGCTGCAGACGAGAAGCCGCTCGCGAAGGCAGAGACGTTGTTCTGGGGCGCCAGGAACGCGTGAACTGTCGCGCCGTCACCGAGAGTAACGAAGTTTCCCTGTGTGCATGTACGAGTCAGCATTTGCTGACCGGTACAGCACAAGTCCGCGGGGTCGCAGTTGATGCTGATGCTGAAGGGACTTGCCGTCTCGTAGTCTGACATGTCTTGCGGCCAGGGTACCGTGACTGCACCAAGCGCGCCCGGAGCGTCACCAATCGTGCGCGGCCGTTGCAGAGCAGGTGACCAAGCGGCGTCAAGGAAGAAGATATGCCAGAAGGTGAGCGCGCGCTCGCCAGCTTCGATAGCATCGGCTGGCGGGGGCAATACGAAGGCAGGATCAAGCGCGATCGGGCTCTCGTGAGTCGACGACGCGTTGCTTGCTCGGTGCAAACCCCACTGAAGTGCCAACGAAGCGGCGGCGCTCAGGTAGAAGCTACCCTCGGACAGACGGCCCGACGTAAGAAGGTACAGTGCGAGAAGCGAGGCGCCCTGGACCACGTCGACGACTTTCGTCAGTCTGCGCGGAGCATCGGCGAAAGCATCAACCGCGCGCGCCAGATACAGTGATTCATGTCGGCTCAACGACTGGGGCCGCGATAGTGCGCAGGCCCAGAGGAAGATTGCGTTCATGAGTACCGGGTGGTGCTGCTCCTCTGGTCCAAGCAGGAGACTTGACCGGAGACGCTCGGGATGCAAGACCTGTTTGGGCACCATGTCAGCGATCTGAATGTTTCGCGCAACGCCCAAACTCACGAGTCCGATTTGTTGGGCATGCGGGATGACGATGTCGAGACTATAGAAGGCGATGCGTTAGCTTGTGGGACAGAGTACAGGATACACAGCCCATGTGCAATAGGATGTGTAACGCATCCCGAGCGGAAGCGGTCCGTCATCATGCCGCCTATACCGGATCACAAAGTATCCGCGACGGATCGGCCGAGTGAGATCTGAGATGAGATTCGGACGTACAGTGTGTGTGCGAGCTCGACAGGAACAGCATCGGACATTGCTGTCCGGACTGGAGAATCAGGCGTTGTCCTGCCCTGCTCGACGTGAGTCCTGGTGTCGAATGTCTACGAACCACAACTACTCACACTAGTGAGCCATGGAACGCCCGCTGGTGGAGTCGAAAGTGAAGGCGTAGGGCTGCTGGTTCCTTGAGAGAAGCCAGAGACCATCCCGGAGGCCATGGAGACCGGAGAAGGGCTGAACGGGTAGGAAGACGGCGTGCTCGGCGCGGCGAAAGGTAAGCTAGTAGGTGACCCAGAGCTGCTGGGCGACGAAGAGTCTCCAGAGTAGGCAAATGAGGCGTCGGGGAATGTTGCATCGGCAAAGACGTGGGGGTCGAATAGTTGAACGGAGGGCTGGAGGTTGCTGTCTGACCCGGATTCAAGGTCGCGCACCTGCGAGAAAATCGTGAACATTCAGATCATTCCCACCACTGTAAACCACATACGCGAGCTTCTAAACGAGCAATGTTTTCACGAAGCAGCTGTGTGCGCGTCTTGCCTTTACCGTCGTCGTACTCGCAGTGTGCGCCTTTCTTGGCCTTGGTACATTGTTGGCACGCCGGCTTGCCACCATCACAGCGCTGGGAACGCGGATGAGCGAGCCGCGTCGAGTGAGGGAAATTGAAGCCACATACCATCTTGCGTTTCCTATAAACCAGCGGAACCAAGTAGTTAGCTTCTCAAGTAGTGCTGCGCAGCAGAGTTCCAGAACACTTGCCTGCATCGCAGGCAGGCCCGTCCGCGCTGTAATGCTGGGACTGCGGAGCGGGAGGAAGAGGGTTCGGATGCGGAGTCGGCCATTAGAAGAAAGGAAGGGTAGAGTAATTAAAGGCGCTGGCGACTGGCCGAGCAGGAGAAGAGAAGGGATAGTGTTAAGTACAAGGGACAAGCCCCCGGCGCGAAAGGCTGGCAACGAAACAGAGGGGGAAGAGCCGGAGACGATGCTGAAGAATAAATGGCTGCCTAAGTACCCGATCGGCTCACGCAACTTAGATCCACCACAAGGGCGCGCACATAGACGCGAACCGCCACAGCCACGGGATCACTAAATCTTACTTCCGCTGAAATTCCACGTGGGCGTGTCTTTGTTCGCCCCATCCGGTCTTCGAGCGAGCCTGGTAGCACGCCTCATAGCCCTACTTCTCGATTACGCCGTGCTCTCAAGTGCGCTCCAACGGGCACGGATTCCACTGACCATGCCTTGGATCCAGCGGACGATAGCGTACCGAGCTAACTCTCACATAGGGCAACTTTGGCCGCGCAATCGGACCGGACCGAGTCGAGACGCGGGGGAATTGACGCGGGACCTCGCGGTTTGCACAAAATGACTTTTGGCTCCTTCACCGGAAACGGCCGCCGTTACTTTCGCTTTGACCACGACCACTGCCTTCGGTATACGCGTCACTTCAAGATGTTTGGCTCTCACGAAGACACGATGTCGCCAATGTTGGATTCAGAGTTCCTCTCACGTATCCGGACCCGCGATCTGACTCAATGCGTGCAACGTGCCTAGCGAAAGACCGAGCCCCTTTGATAGAGTATATGCCGATAATATCCTGGATTTGTGTATGGTCCACGCGTACACTGCCAAGACATCACCGCGTCCGTCGGCATATACATCAAATCACGGACTTCTCTGGCCTACACGAACCGAACACGTCCCAAAATGGCAAGCGTCGGAATGACAACGCGACTCCCGACGCGGTCGCCACAACACGTACTGGTCCCTGGCTCTTCCTCGCCGTCCTCGTACTCTTCACCTTGCTCAGATTGAGTCTTGACCGGGTTCGTACATGTTGTATCTGTTCTTCCGTCGCCCACGGTGTATTCGAGTCAAATGCTATAGGGCCGCCTAAAAGTACCTACGCGGAGAGTTGTCATCTTCCGGTCCCGCCTCATCCCGGCGCCTGTTACAATCAACGAAGCAGCGTCTAAAGCATGTGGGGATGAACTCGGTGCAGATCATGAAATTGGCCGACCTCCGGAGGTGGACTTCCCCGATAACATCGTTGAGCAAGCACGCTGTTAGATATGTAACTGGTACGCGAGTGCCACACAGCGCCCTCTCCAACCAATCTCCAACAAGTGTTTCTCCTCCCGCAGATCGTGACGTGATGGGCGCTTGCCATTCGCCCGCAATTCGGCGCACCCATGTCCAACCGCCGGTTGTGCACACAGCATGACATCTGCTTCTTGCAACTAAGCATGTATTGTGTTCGCGTGCTTCCCTCTCATATTCGCGCGTCTGACGGTCATTGCAGGCCTTGTAGCAACAGCCAAGGGAGGCTTAGACTGTCTCATATCATTCACTCATCTACATCGCGCGTCCGGGTGTGCTCGTTCAGTTGAACCCCAGAAGAAGACAATACGTCTTCCTGTTTCGCAAGATCAAGCCGACGTTCGCGGAGCAGCCGATTCATGTGAGTGTCCGGACTATCGCGGTATTTGCAGCTCGGGATGCATACAGAGCTCCGTCCTTGATCCCGTCTCCCGCAAGCTATCTTCAAGATGATGGCGGTCCTCGCTTCCTGGACGCACATCACTCCCAGACGGATGCTTGAACAAATTCGTTCATCGCGTTGTGCGTAAGATGCTTAACCTTGCTGCATAGCTATGCGCTAGCAGTAGATCTATGAAGGCTTGCCCATACGGTCCGCATGCATGAGCGCATCTATCTTCTTTGCTGTCCCCGAGGCTATGCGTTCTTCCTTTCAAACTCAGGATCTGACCTTTTCTCCAGGGGGTCAACGAACCAGTCTACCCACCTTAACGACGTGTTTCTCCGTAGAACTCGCATGGACTCATACGGAAGAAGACATCGATTATCCGGATGAAGTAGTAGCGGAGAGTAAACATGCCGCGGGCGCATTATCGGCGAGAGTGCTAGAGGGGGCTGTGCATCCCGGGTCCGTGCGTGTGATTGACGAACTATTACTAGTGAACCATGCACTATCGCATGTAACAGAAAGCCAGGTACAGTAGTACACGCGTGAAGACCGAAGGAGCGCGTGAGCATTGTCGGACGATGATTGTTCAACTCCGTGACTCTGGACGCGACCCTTCGTGCTAGTATCCTAGAGTAAATCCCAAGGTCAGCTGTCTTCAACCTTGATGATTCAATGGAAGTCATCGCGGATAGCCTATTTCGTACACGTCTCAATAGAGCTGCCACTTCACATGCCTAACGCCCACCATTGAACCCTGCAGGCGGTGCGGCGCTCGTTAGCGCAACAGAAGCGGACGGAGGTTTCAGCTACACTTTGAAAGAGACTGAATGCACCCGGTGAGACTACTCTGGAACGTATGTGACCTTTTCTCTGACCGAAGCTACCATAGCAAGCTGAGACGGCGATCGGCCTGCCTTCCATGTTCACCTCCTTCTCGCGCGCCTTCTTCCGCGTGAATGAATGCCAGTCGATCAAGAGTTACTCACGGTCAAAGACATACGTACGATACCAGTGCCCGCGTGACAGCAGCGAGGGTCTTAAAGCTGCACGAAAGTCACGCTTCATGTCGAGCATTGATACTGATGCGAGCGGCGAATTTGGGGTCATAACGGCGTACTACTGGAGCGACGGTGACCCTACTCGATCAAGAGGTTGAGACAGCCTTCCAGAGGCTGTCCAGGTTTCCCAACGTACGTGTATCGAAGCGCGCGAGCACGAGGGCGTGGAGCATTCGCGGTATATGCGGCTACTAGAAGGCATCTTCTGGGCGATGCTTGTCTCAAGCAGGCCTGTCTGCTGCGCTTCAAGTAAAGCATCAGTGGTACTGAGGCCATCTCCAAGCCGCGGCCGACAAAATGGGAGTAATGACTATGAAGAGGCTTCGTAAGTTTGCATGCCTCGGGACTTAGAAGCTTCAGAGAAGAAACACCGTTCTGCAACGCTCGCGTCTGACCTACTAAGCGCCTGTACGACCGTACGGGACAGAGTCTTTACCTACTCGCTTCAAGGCTGCGAAGCACGACATTCTGTCCTTTCTGAGCTGCCCCATTGTGCATGTTTTCGGGCCACCCAGGCTGTGCACCAAACCTTCGGCGCCTCGTTCGATCTTACCTCGTGGAAAGGTTCATGAGTTACACCGCATATCAACCATCAACTTGAGGCGTACACGTATACGATGAATACCGTACCTGATGGGCTGAGCACCTCTTGATCCTAGGTCACAGACATCCGAATCGTCGACAGGCGCCGCCTTTCTAGGGCCTGAAGTGCTCTCACTGCGTCCTGGTTTTCTCATGTATACACCGGCAATCTGCAGGCGGGCTTACCAGGCGTCGGCGCCGGTACGGTGTGCTGATCACACGGACAGATGATCCTCTCCGCTTGCCGTAGCACCCGACATGCGTCGCCAGTCTTGCCAGATCCTCATCGTAATTATGGGGATGCGGACTGGTCACCGAGTCGGACATCTCTGCGCCGGAGAAGCCATCGCACAAGCGAGACGAGCAGTACGTGCGTTCCCTGGCTCAAAAGTCTCGTCGACGTCTTCGCCATCAGGATCTGCCGCGCCTACCCCTCACAGCGGGCTCGCAGGCCCGCCCGGCGGCAAACCGCCGACGAAATGTAGCTCATTTATGAAACAATACATGACGGACCATCTACGAGCTCTGGCACGAGTGCCGATGCCGGACGTCGGGTCAGAAATAAGCTTCTTGACGCCAGCCACTGTCTGGGCCTCTAGTGTCGTCACATTCTTCTCGATAGACGCGTCTTAACATCCCAGATTGTTGCATCAAGTAAAAAATGAGATTAAGGCATGGCTACCGCACGTCGAGCGCGCTCCGTCGTAACGTCAATATGGCCATTCCTTCTCTCAGTGATCTCAGTGACCCGAACACGAGCAGATCTCATCCCAAAGGCTGGAAGGGCCTCTTTCACTCCGCGCCGTACAGGGGAGGTGTCTTCTGCATGAGCAGCGCAGGTCCCCAGAATTCCTGGACAAAGAAGGACGCTATAACGCGTCCCGCGTCGTATTGGTTGAGGGCTGCAGGGAGAATAGAATTATGGCGCGGGGGATTCTCGTTGCGCCATGCTATCGAGGCGTCACAAGTCCTTGAGACGATGCGCTTCATGATCAAAGAGCTTGCGACGTGACAACGGCGGTCTGATAACAACGCGCTGGTCCCAATCTCTTCAGCCTTGCTGGTCCGGGACTGCACGGCGCACACATCGGGGGTAGGAGGAAGACATGACGCAATCTGGACCGTTGAGCTGAGACAGCATGGTTCTTCGGGTTTCGCAAGGACCCCTCCCACTGTGATAGAGGATAACGGACACCTCGCAAACAGAGACCCCTCCCAAGCCAACCGTTTCCGTGCTCGGCACGGTAGCGGAACCTGAGTATATAGGAATCAGAAGTGGTGTCAATCCTCCGACAAGCATCACCTGAGCACTTCTTAGCAAAGCGGGATGGTAATGATAGAAGAGGTTCCATACCAAGTCGGCGTACGAGGTCCACGGAATGTAACGGGAGCATGTGACGTGCACAGGTCAACCCTGGAAGGGAGCAGGACCATGCGGGGACTCAGGGAGGGTTGAGAAGGGTCTTCAAGATTCGCATATTCATTCAAGTCAGAGACGGTGTTTCGAGTCGAAGCGAGACGTATTTTCGCTCATGGACATGAGAGGAAATGGCAGGAGAGAAACCGCGGCGAGCCAGAGCGTCACGTTGTGAAAAATCGCGTGACGTCACGCGGTTCCTCGTCGCGTGTAAGTCTCGTTCCGGCCGCGCTGCATCTTTCCTCCTCAACTCATCTTCGGCAATCGCTCAGGTCCTGAAGTACGTTTACCTTATACCAAACCTTCCCAAAAACCTGTGCGGGAGCTTGTATACCCGACCTAGACGGGTTATCGACCTGAAACGGGTATCAACCCAAGCTCTGTTCGCGCGCGGTTTCCACACAGGGGCACTGCTATCCGGACATCTCTCCATCACATAGATCGTACCTTCTTGCTACTATGGCCGAAGATGCAGCGTCTACGCAGCTGAAGGATCTTGGTAATGCGCGGTTCAAGGCTAGGAAATTCTTCGAGTGCGTACCAAACGTGAGGATGGCACATGTCAAAAGCTGATGGCGTACACTAGAGCCGCTAGTCTCTACAAGCAGGTGAGTACCACTCCTCCGCCACTGTGCAACAGCTTGCTGATTATCTGATAGGCAGAAGATCTCAAGCCTTCAGATTCTGTCTTTCCATCCAACCTTAGCGCCGCCCTATATGAGATCGCGGATTACGAGGGGTGCTTCCGCGCGATCTTGCGCTCATGGTCTGCACTCTGCGCAACAAAGAACGAACGTTCTAATGAGACACTTGCATTGCGACTCTCGACGCGTCTTGCGAAGACCATGACCAATGGGCTGGTTACAGGTGCACTGTCTGACGCGATGGGCGAAGTGGAAAACGGCCCTCAGGCTGTCGCGAGCCTACGAGAACAGGCAGATGTCTGCATGGAAGCATCAGCCGAAGCTCGGTCTCAAGCAATCAAGGCTTGGCAGGACTGGGACACCGTGTTTGCGGAGTCTATGCGTGTCGGCGACGCAGAAAAGCGGCGAGCTCAGACCGATGTCGCTAGGTTGCCCGTCACAAAACAATATTTGTGAGTTCTCCGTCGACGTGCGGTCCAGATCCGCGATTTCTCACAGATACTACACAGCGAAGGCAATATCATGGAGTACTACATGGTTCGCGCGCACTACTGTTCAACTGCTCTGAGCGTCATACTGAAATCAAGTCGCCAAGATGGGACACGATGATCCTTTCTCGATCGTCGACGATTACGGCGCAGGGAAGAGATCGCCTCTTCACCTAGAGAAGCTCTCGGAAGAGAAGCTGTCGAAGTTAGCTTTCTTCTTCGGCGGTGTGGGTGACGGTGTGTCTTTTGACTGCGCAAGTCTTGAGAGGTACTGATGCCGCAAATGAAGCTCGCCACATCTACGCGTCTATCATAGGATTAGAGCGTGCCTTCGGAAAGCTTTCCGTGGCGCAACTCGCTCAAGCCAAGGCGCACTTCTCTCTGTCGGACGTACACCCGACCATATTCTGCCGCGACTTGATTGTTCTTATGTTGCTGCATCGACTGGTTCAAGGGAAGCTGTCCAGCGAAGAAGCATACGAGATCAAGATTGCCCTGCACTACACGTTCTGCTTGCACGTCGTTCCCAAGTCCGGACTCAAGTGGTGAGTATCGAAGCAACGATCCATCAGACCGCCCTCTGACCAGGTGTGGAGGGTGACAGAAGTGATCAGCGAACTGCGCGCAATGTTCTCAGAGTCTCCTCCTACCACGCCAGACTGGCTCTATGTACCAGAGGATGCAGCGTTGAAGTTGTCCGCCATCCTGAATGCATGGGACCCCTGGCCGTCATCTCGAACAGCTGAGAACATCATCACTATCTCTCACTACCGGCCTGGCCCCGGCGACGAAGATGAGGGGCGGAGTGGCGTACCACGTCTGAGCACCTTCGGTAAACTACAGCGACAGATGAAACAAGCCGCTGTGGACAAGTTACAGGACCTCCCCACCAGCAAGGTTCGTAACGTGGTCCTCTTCGCTCCCGGACATGGAGCCTGATCTAATCTCTACAGCGTGAAGCCCGTAAGAGTGCGCCTCCCGAGACATCAACGCCACAACGCATTGTCGAAGACCTCTGGTACAGAGTCACAGATACGTTCGTTCCACCAAAGAGCATGCTCGAGCAGCTTCCCGCAAGTAGTCGTCTGTGGAAGTACATCAACGCGGCGAAACCCGTGAAGCAACCGCGCCGCGCACTGGAAAGTATGATTGACGCGGTGAATACAGCAGGCTGCTCGCGCTGAGGCCCGATGGCACTACTGACGAAGTCTAGGTCTTTCAGGAGACGTTCGACAACTACGGCGCTAACCGGACTTTCTTCGTGAGTATCATGAGATCGTCCCTTTGTGCATCCACGCTTCTGACTCTCGCACCCAGGATCCGATATCGTGCAGGACTCCGCGTCTGAACTTCGCTGGATGGACATACATCCAAGAGGATGACTACTTGCAGTACACTGTGCGCTACCTGGAGGGCGCCAACGCTCGTTTCCGCTTGAGTTCAAGCGCGGTATGTCAAGACGATGCCGCAGCAGCTGCGTTCGCGACGTCGTGCACGTTCTTTGAGTCGGTAGTCAAAGCTTGGAAGACGCTGGAGGGCAAGCTGACATTGGATATACTTCTGGGAGATATGAACTCGCAGCTGGCTCTAACTCGAACGGCGGCATCACGGAGACCGGCGCATATTCCCCCAGAGTACACTCGGATGTGGCTCAGCAACGTGCCGTGCGTCAATTTCATTGAAGCTGATCGCGAAGCATATTCATGATCTGGATAGGGACTATACGCATGGTGTAATGAACCAGGTTATATACGCGCTTCCCAGCCTGCAGCGCTTCAAACAAGCTGAGATCGCCAGCAACTGTCTCTTACACGCCGGGTCATTCATGCTTGATTCCGACGCCTACTGCTACACGTACGTCCTTTGATTCTCTATAAGACACATAGCCATTATTCATCCCCACCATCAGATACGCTCTATTGAATCCAAGAGAGCTGTCTGCCTACCTGAACTGTGCTGTACGTGAGCTAAGGGCGTTTGAAGGTGTCGAGAAGATTGGTTGGAACTCTGAAGAGCGCAAGATAAAATTCGATGCTCTCCCTCCACGCGAGGACCTTGCACGATGGCTCACCCGCCTGCTCATGAACATAGTGTGGCCGGTGGACCTGTCACAACCACAGAAGATGACCCTCATGGGCTCCGGTGTTCGCCATACAATGAACCTTAACGCATTCGTCGCTTTACTGCTTCATCTGCCGACCATCGGCTATCCCGCGCACTGGATCTCCGACTTCACGCAGTCGCTGCTTTCCAACAACGTCTGGTCTGACATGGACTTCTTTGCCGGTCCCCTCCCGGTGCCAACCGACTACTATAAGTCGAAGCGTGTTGCGAATCGCAGGTTGTGGGTCGCTCCCTGGGTCACGGAGCTCAGCACGATCCTTTCTCTCGCCGCTCCTATCCTGCCGTTCCCCTTGCCGCTCGTCTCCAATACAGACGCCATCGCCTTCTTCGAGGCAAACCCTCGCATGACGCAGATGATGCTGGAGAGGATGTATGAGATGGCAGCGAACGACACGCCCAATATGCACCTCATGTTCTTGCATCCGAGCGCGATGCTGCACCACGCTAAGTACATCGGCAACATTCGCGCGGTCCTCGACGGCAGCGACCGCCCACCCGCAGGCCAGCTTGCGATCCTGACTTCGCCTGAGCAGGTTGATTGCATGGGCAATGTAGTGCGATGGAGGATGCGCGTCAAGGATTACAAGAAGATGTACGACGAGAAGTGGACGCTGATACTCTACCGGTTCGACCGCAATGTGCCAGGTCAGTCCCTGGCATGCTGTATTACTCTCATACGCATGCTGACTTCTCGATATACCAGTGGGAAAGCCGATGCCTGTAGCCTCCTGGACAAAAGCGGAGGACATCAGATCCGCCGCCTGAAACTGCATTAGTGCCAGAATCGTGAATATGACAACGTGACGCCCACTCATGTTGTACTACATACTTTGAATCAGGGCCGCAAACATGGTAGAGATAGCATCGCAGTGTCAGAGTAGACCTCGCAAAAACCTTCCAGGTTTGGGTAGCGACTTCTGGGTCTCCACGATGCTCCGAGGCGGTCACACGAGGCAGACCGACGATATGATCCGGGTAGATTGAGCGCTGGGTCTGGCCGTACGCGTCTTCGAGCAAAGGGGGGAGGGAGTGCTAGGCCTCGTAGACCCAATGTACGTAGACACAGGTAAAGAGCGATAGAGCCACCGCAAGGTGGTTTTTTAAGCGTGCGAACTTCGGACCCGCGCGAGCACCAAGTTGAAGGGGCGCTAGGCGCTTGCCCTTGTCCGTCCATGACCACCATCACTTCCACTACAACTATCATGGATCCTGGCACTGTTGACCAGGAGAGAGAGATTAAGCAGCTTATCAGGAAAGCGGAGGATACGGGCTCGCCTACTCATCCAATTGTGCGTGACGGTCCATTGTCCGCCGTACAGCGAACTGATGCCCGTTCTCTCACTTTATAGAGAAAAGATTGCTTAAGAAAGCTCATTGATGTGGCTCATGCTTCGGAAGCGTCGTTGAAGAAGTTAGCGGCTGAGAACATACCAAAGTTCTACAAAACCTTCCCTGATTTGGAGGAGGATGCTATTAACGCCATTTACGACCTATGTGAAGACCCAGAGCCTAAGGTGCGCTGAACCAGTTTGACATGTTTATCGTGGATGCTGACATATAGAACAGGTCCGCGTAGACGGTTATTCTGCTATTGTACACTTGTCGAAAGAACAACGCAAATGGGTGAAGCGGAACGCTGATGTCTTGGTGCAACTCCTCCAAGCTGGTACGCAGTCCCCTCAGGGCGTCCATATCGCCAACCCGACTGACAAAGGGTATAGATGAACCTGAAGAGGTTGCTTCTGTGAAAAAGGCCTTATCCTCACACGTCGACTTGGACCCGAAGGTCACATTCGGAGTTCTATGCGAACAGCTTGTACCCCAGGAAGAATCTACTGACGAGGACGAACGGGCGGCTCGTGATCATCTCCGATATCTCGTCCTGACCTATATGACTGGCGACATCATGCGCTTACAGCGTCATGCTGGCAAAGCGGAGTACGAGGACGTTCTCGTTGAGGGACTTCTGAGGGTACGAATGAATGCCAATTCACAAAGCGCGCATCTAACGTCTCGTATAGGCTATCGTCTCCGTGGGACAGAAAGAACAACATATCATCGTCAAGGATATCCTCCTCTGCCTCCCTTCTCTGAAACCGGACCCTAACCGTACCAATGATGAATTGCTGACCCGTCTGCTCACTCACGCCCGTCCCCTTCTGGAAACTGACATGAAGCCTCAATCGCAGCCTTGTGTACTGTCTCAACAAGTCCAGGTCCTGCTTCAGCTAGCTTTCTTCATCTGTGTGGAACTGGATAAGGCTATCGGCAATCCGATCCGGCTCATGCGCTTTCTCTCTGATACGCTGATCCCATCTGGCTTGGAGAAATTCACCGCCGAATCGAAGGTCTTTCTCCTGACGCTCTTGGGGGATACTTGGGCAGCAAGCGAGTCTACTCTCTACGACCGGGAGCGTGACTCTATCCGCAAGCATGTCACAGACAGCACATCATTCTTGCTACCTGTGAGTGCCGCGGCTATATTCCTAAGTAATGTGCTGACGATTTGTGATAGGGCTTGATCAGAGTTCGGCCGACGGATAGGCGCGCGTGGACAGCCACAGAGAAGCTTCTAAGTCTTTGCCTCAACGTGAGTTCTCATAATATTTGCATGGTCACGAAGCTCATATATACCCAGCGTCTGGACAACACTCGATGGCTCCTCAATAGTTCTACACATAACGCTCACGAGGATCTCCTACGTCTTCTCGAAGATAAAGAGTACCTAGAACAGCTGAAAGACATTGATACGGCCGCCATCCGCGAACTCACCCAAGTTCGTCATTTATACTCGACCATCACCATCAAAGCTGACGTTCCATGCAGCGTCTACATGAAAGATACCAGCCACATCCAGGGAATATCCGCCGTGATAACAGACGCGATGTTCGTTGGCGTCGTTCCCCCTCCCCGACTCCCAGCCAGAAGCGCAAGGCTGAGTTTTCCCTCCCGGATTCGGACCGTTCCCGCCCCGCCTCTCGTCCCCGTCGCTCTCCCTCCCCTCGCCGCCGTTCGCCATCCCCGCGCCGGCGGTCCCCGTCGCCCCGTCGGCGGTCACCATCGCCACCTCCCCGTCGACGTTCCCTATCACCCCCTCCTCGCAGGCGCTCTCCATCACCCCCACCACGCCGTCGCACTCCGACACCTCCATCTGCGCCTCTATCGATACGTGGTCAGTCGGCGAGGGAACGCGAACGCGATCAACCTCCCCATCTTCGCGGGCAACCCCCGTCTCAACCACGCAATATGCCACCCACGGGTCCACGGGCAACGCAGGAAAGTAATGGGCTGAAGCGACGCGAGCGATCTCCCCCTCGCGGTCGAGGGCGCTCACCAACTCCACCCAAACGTCCACGCATGCATTCACCTCCACGAGACCGTGGCCGTGAGCGCGTGATGGATAACACTAGGGATCGCGAACGTGATACTCGGGCTCGCGACCTTCCGCCTCACGTACCCCGTGCGCCCGCCGCGGCTGCGAGGGACAACGGTCGTCCGCCACCCGCTTCCACCTCAAGGCGTAGTCCGTCCCCTCCACCTACACCTGCACCTGCGCCCGCACCAGCACCAGCACCTGCATCTGGTCCTGGGACCGTCACCGGATGGAGTATCAAGGGCGCCGCGACGCGCGAACCGTTGCCGCCGCAGTCGTTACTGACGAGGATGGCGAACTTGGATCCTGAGCCTAAGAGGAGAAAACGTGGCGGAAAGAACAAGAGGTAGTAACGTTGGCTCACTTCTCGTTGGGGTATACTAGGCGCACAATGCAATGCAATATAATGTCCACGCCCTTCCTTCAATGGGCCTCACAAATCATAGGCAATGTCACGACCCACAAATAGGTATGCACGTGTTGAAAAGTCGTTCTCTACTGCAGAGATCACTGTCCGCAGCATTGTCCAACTCGCGCAGCCCGAAATCAGTAAGCGCGGGCCAACCCAGATGCCTCCATTATCGTAACGCCCGCTGCCCGCGAGCCATCCACCGCCGGCTTCTGCATTGACAAGCGCTGGACTCGGGCTCTGCTCGGGGACCTACATCAAGAGCGCAAGCCGCAAATCGGCGCATTGCTCTCACAGACTTGCGCGCCTGAGAGACGTCTCAGCCACCGATCTTTCATAGGCGCGCGAGGCTCGGATAGACGCTGCGCGGGCACTTATCGAAGTCCGAAGGTATATAAAGGCGGGATGGTGAGCGCCGCGTACTGCTCATCCCCGCGCTTCTCCCTCTTCTTGCGGTCGTCATGGTCGCGTTCATTCCTTACCGATCTCTTGCGAAGGCTGCTTGCGCAGCAGGTGCCACCTCGATGGCTTTGATGGCTATGGCGGTGCGCGTTTCTCCTTCAGGCTGCTTTACTGCATATGCTGAATGGTTGTGGTAGAAACCGACGCCTTCGGTACTGCGCCGTCAGTCTACGGCCAACCCTGAGAACCCTGATGCGTTCTGTGTCAAGGTTCGGAAAGCTGTTGCGCATGTCGAGATGTCGAGTTCGCTGATCTTCGGTGCCACAGACGATGTGCATTGCCGGTTCTGTCCAGGGTGATGTTGTCACCTGTATGTTTTGAGCTTCTCAACTACTACGCTTGGTCTTCTGGAGTGCTCACGTCTGTTATAGATACTCTCACGAGCCAGGGCACTCTGCCAGTCGGCTGGATGGGCATGTAAGTACTCGACTGCGCTGCTCGCGATGATCGGACAGTGCGCTCATTGGGTGGTTGTGACACAGTGGATTCGGGAAGACGATGGGCGACAGTCAGATGGTCGTGATGTGGCCGAACCAGGATGGCTCGTACACGCTCTCGCAACGGCGCGCACCATACGAAATTGAGCCGAGGCCAGACGATAGTCCGCACGTTCAGGTTACCCTGCTTACGGAATCGAGCTTCATAGTACGTTTGTCCGGTTTTTCGGCAAGCTGGTACTGACTGACATCAAGGACCAGATGGATGATTCTCTCGTGTCAATCTCGTTCTCTCTTCCTGTAAGTTCGACCGACGGTCCGTGTTACCATCGAGAGAAGCTGACACCTCGTAGCTCAGCGAAGCCGAACTGGCAGACGAGGAACAACACCAGCAGAAGGACATCATCTGGGCATACAGCATCAAACACCCAGAACCCGAGCCGGACGCGCACATCGCCTTCCACGACCGTTGGGGCCGAGCCAAGCTCACTCTATCGCACGACCTCCCGCCATCTACTTCACTCTCCGGTGACTCCTCAACCCCAGCCGTCGCGGACGACGAACTCGAAGGTGCCCCTCTAAAGTCCGAGTCGCATCAGCGCGCGCTTGTTGCGCATGGTATCCTGTGCATGGCTGCGCTGCTACTCTTCACTCCTGCCGCGGCCGTGGTCTCGCGCTGGAGACCGGAATCGTTGGCTGCGTACACTATCCTGCAGATCGCATGCGCGGGCGCTACGCTCCTACTTGGTCTCGTCGCTGCCGTACGCGCGGCACCCGCGCACCTGGACGACACGCACAAACGCGTCGGTGTGCTTCTCGCACTGCTCTTTGTTGGACAAAGCGCGCTAGGGATGTATGTCAGCCGTGCGGTCAGCCCTATCAAGGGAACGAGCATCGCTTCCGTCGTTGCTGGAATGGCCGTTGTGGCTCTGGCGCTTTATCAGACGAGGACAGGCATGATGACCGAGTGGGTGGCTGCGACAGGAACCGGGAGTCTGCCGGCGCTGGAGATTATGTGGCTTGTGGCGCTCTTCGTGCGCTTCGCTTCCCTCTATGTCGATAGGCCAGTGAACTAACTTGTATTCGACTAGGCCGCACCTGTAGCGCTCATCGGCAGCCTCTTCTTCCGTCGCACGCGCGAGCACTATATCGCGCTATACTCGCCTCCTCTGCCGAAGGAAGGAGAGGTTGGGCACGAGATGGATGATCATGAACAGGATCACTATGAGATCGGGCAGGATGAGGACGAGGAGGATGTTGAGGAGACGCATCGGATGCTTGGGAAGGCTCAATGAAGGATTTCGATTCACACTCATTAGTATAGGTTTCTTGGTATCGCTTGGTCATGGTTGCTTCGGCTTGGGATGTTCACTGTATCTTTATTGTCTCGTGCAGGACATTATTCGTATACTTTCATTGTTAGTGGCTGCATATCTTCATGTTGGTGTGGCGCGTGAAGAGGCTCGGGAAGGCTGAGAGACTGCAAACAGGCAGGGAAATCTTCGCGGGCCTGTGACGGGCCTGGCCAGTAGAATAGAGTACGAATATGTGAATTGAGCTGGAACGAGAGCGAGGGTACGTGGACACCGTTACTGGTGTTGGCTAGACGAAGGAAACGAACGACGCGGCGCGGCGCGTTCAACGGCGCGCGCGCGCTTACAAATCAAATGAACATCAACCTAAAATCTAATCGGGAACGGAAGGGTAACGGCCTTGGCCGTTACAGGGCCAAGTCTATCTTCTTCTACTAGAGCTTACTATGCAAGCGGCTTGCGCCGAGGCGCAGCGTACTAGAGGAGCTACTTATGTGTACATGACTGGAGCAGAAGGTTGCAGAATACGCTGGTGGGCGCATGATGATCATGACGTCGAGAAAAACGGTCGCTGCGGTGCCGCGTGCGCCGCGCGCGCCGCGTCGCGTCGCGTCGCGTCGCGCTCGACGCGCGCTTGTCTCAGTTTCCCATCTCTCCCAGTATCTACACAAGTAGATACGGGCGTACCAAACGCGCGCGAGACGCCATCGCGTCACCGAACAGATCGAAGATCTATAAGCGCAAGTCGCGTTTGCTTCAAATATCCTCCTTTGGTGATGTATGTGGGCCTCAGTCGTATAGATTTGAGATTGGTCTGTCGTGCTGCTAGTATATACGTACATGAATGACAACATTGTGGTACGAAGGCTCATTGACTTTTTAGAGGCATCACAGGGGACAAGGAGAGGCAAGTCCTGAGAACAGGGAATGTAACGGCGTAGCGGCAACATTTATCTGCAGATGAACATCGTGAGCACGAACGTGCGATTTCACAAGATCGAGGGGTACGCACATTCATCAGAGCATTCATGAGCACCGTACAGGCCTTGTCCCAACAAGCCATCGACGCGCCGTACCCGCCGTACCCGTCACTCTAAGCCGATCCTACCCATCTCGATACGTGTCGACACCACCGACTTCACCCGCTCCATTTCCGATATACACCGGCGCATCGCCCGTCGCATCGGAACACCCTCGCCTCGGCTGTGTCGAAAGGTCGGAAAGCTCGTCTATATGACGCAAGCGCACGTTGAACGAACGAAGACTCGGGTTCGTGCAGGTAACAGCGCAAGGGCGATGGAGCTCCGCGGACGCATACCGCAGGACGGTATTGAAGCGTCCTAGGGCGAGTGCTGCTGGTGCGACGCCCTCCTTCCCATCGGAACCGCGTGTGAGCAGCAGGCATTCTCCAAGCCCGTAGAGAACGGAAGGCCGAGGCCGATGGATCAAGGCGAGGGCACCAGTGGCGATATACGCATGCACGCGGCCCTATCCTCCCAGCACGCTCCGTGTCTGCGATGGCCTCCGGAGGATCCTATACAGCTTCTTCCAGCCCAGCGTTGCAGTCACGCGTCCAGAACCCTCAACACGTCTTTGGGAATGATCGTCCTGTCCAAGTTGCACAAGTTTGGCGCGGTCTGGCGCGGGGATGACATTGTAGACCTTGAAAGAGTCCTGGCGAGCTTCTGCGATCCGATGGCCATCGCCAGTGCAAGACATGGGAAGAAGACGGCGCCCATTGACTGAGGTCGCCACCAGCTCGAACAGACTTCATTGCGCTGGGGAACCCGCGCGCTTCTTGTGAGCGGTGAGATGAGAAGCCAAACGCGGGCCATTATGCGCCTCGCTCGCCGTCCGTGGAGGTGGGATGCACGAGATGCGCGTGGCGTAGAACATCTTGCGTGATGTGACTGGTCGGCCCACGCTAGAGTATTGTCCGCCAGCGCGACTGGAACGCCATCTTCCTCATCGCCTATCGTCCTCCAAATACTCAATTGGCCGCGCCTTTCCCCGTATCCGCGCGTGCACCATAGGTCGTAGTCGATTTCCCAACACTACTAGTGGCAGTGTCGGCAGTTCGTCGCCCCCGCTGACGTCTCGTGAATGCGCATCCAGCGATATATCCTGCTGTTGCGGCGGCGTAGAGCATCATGGGTGCACTACAGCCAAGTTTACGCTCGCTGCACTATTGCTGCTCGCTTGCGAGTGGGTGTGTAGAGCTGTTTCGAGCGTAGTAGGCTTCTCACTGCCTCGGGAGACGCCGATAGCGGTATACCATGGCCGATAGATTGTGGCGAGGCATTACGCGGATCTTGTGTGTAGATCGAGGGTGAGAGGATCGAGTATAGACAGGTGGCGCTGAGCTGTGTCATCGTGGGCGAAGGGAAAGAATAGGCGGTGGCGTTGCCGCTTGACGCGGCCGTGGACCAACCTTATCTTGGTCTCTACCACCACCACCACTTACAGCAATGACAAAGGTCCTTGAATAGCTTTAGAAGCGCACCGCGTGAAGCCCGAGTGACTGTTGTTATGCATATCGATGCATGCCCATCTTGCTAGGCTCGCGATCCCCGTACCCGATTCGTAAAGGCATCATCTCGTCCACGGAGCGACGCGAGCGGTTCTTCGACCCAAGTTCGGCCATCGTGCACCGCGCGCTGGTCTAGACGGCTGATACGACATCTAGCAGCAGCGGGGCAAGGTTCAGCCCTCATCTCGTACGTGTGTTGCCTTGTTGCTCTTTTGCTTCATCTTAACATACCGTTCCGCACACGCGGATATCGATCCAGTACGCATCTTGCCTCCAACCTCTCATTGCTACCATCTGACTTGCGTCTTGTAGCTTTGACGATACGTCTTGGCGGCATCTACCCAGCTGATTGCATCACGATTTGGGGATAGCGCGAGAACTGTGTCGCGGTATGCAAGGTGTGCATATGTGTGATGTCATCTTCATTGAGATACATGCTCAAGCGCTCACCACAGCTGACGACCTTCCTTCCTTCTCCCCAAATCGCCGTCGCATTGTGCGAGACGGCACGACCACTGCGATACATGTTCTTGTCTAGTGCTACGTATGCATCGATAGGATCGTGCCCATGTTCATCACCGGTGCTTCTCAATTACCGAAAGGTGCAACAGCCTCCTCGCGTGAACCTCTTCCCGTGCACATATTCTCAAGCGTTGCCGCCACGACGCGATGTGCACGCTCTTTCGCGTACCCGCGCGTGCAATGGTTGCCTGAACGCGGAGACTCGCTTGGTATTGCCACGACACGATGGCCCACTCTACGTAGACGCGGCCTTCTCTACGTCTTTCGATGCCTCGCATCGTGCGTGACAGGTATATATGCATCTGGCTCACAGACTGAGTCGACAGTATCTCATTCAAGCGCCATGGCAGCCGTGGACCCGACATATCCTCTCTACCCCATCGCCTGCCTCTTGGCTTCAGCGATGCTGCTTCTCGTCCTCTTGACCAGCTTTATCCGCAAAAGCTGGAATCTCGGTGTTGCATTTCTCTGTTTCTGGCTCTTCTTCGAGCTTCTGACCGCCGGTATTGATGCTATTATATGGTCCGATAATGCAGTCATTAAGCTGTACGTGTACTGCGACATCGGTCAGTGCATGCTCGATGGGACTAGCTATTCGCTCTGACATCACATCGGGCAGTGACACATATGCAAGTCATCACTGGGATTGTGAAACCTATGGCCACGCTGATCATTACTCGCCGGCTGTATCTAATCACCAGCCTACGATCCATAGAGCCCCCTACAAAAACGGCAGTGAGTTGCGGTGCACGACCGATTCTCCTCGTTCTGAGCTCGCATTAGAGGCGCAGAAATCTTGCGATAGAGTGGGGGCTTGGTCTGGGCATTCCTCTTCTGGTTGCAGGGCCTTTCTGTGAGTCATGTCCGAGATGGTTGTCAAGTCACCATGTTTGCTTAGCGCGTCTCAAGATTATGTAGTTCAGTGGCTTCGGTTTGAGGTCGACGAGGGCTTTGGCTGCAGCAACACCCCCGATAATTCGATACTCGGCATTTTGCTTCTTAATTCATGGAATGTGTTACCTCCCCTGATGTCCATCACTGTCTACTATCGTGCGTCAAGTCTATCCTGCACACGTTCGCTCCTTGATCTTGCAATGCTTATCTCTACCGCTCCAGCCCATGTGGCCCGAAGTTTCTATCGTCATAATCGGGAGATCAACCAATTCTTACAAAGTAACGGTTCAGTGACCCGCACTGACTACTTCCGCATCCTTGCTCTGGCAAGTATTGATATCCTGCTCACCTTGCCTATGGGAATCGCGACGATCGTCTTGACTGTGGATGGCATTGTATCTTCCGGTCACTTCCCATTTTACTTTGGCTGGACCTACGACCACACGGACTGGCAGCCGGCAAGCTTCTCCTATGCGGACATAGTGTCCGTCGGGCCTTTCGACGTAGCAGACTTCTACTTCATTAATTGGACATCACCCGTCCTCGCCTTCGTCATATTTGGCCTCTTCGGCATCACACCGGAAGCCCGCGCATCGTACTGGCGCGTCATATGCACTATTGGAGGCTGGTTCGGCTGGCAACCCAAGCCTCGCGCTCGCAGGGCGCGTTCGCCGCTGGGAGATATCGAGTTCGGCGAGCGTCCTGCTCAGAACTCGATGTCGCTTGGTCTCGAGTACGCCCACCTGTGCAATCACAAGGGCTAGACTAACGAGAATGAGCCAGGTCGAATCCAAGCTACGTCGATCCCAACGCCCGCGCGCAAGGTGAGGTCGTCGGGAGTGGAGATGCAAGAAACGACGACGCCATAGGAAGTGGGTCGGAGAAGGACGAGATTGAGGATGTGCACCGTTCTGCGACGTACGTAGCCTTCCAGTGCTGGATACGTCGAGTGCAAGCTGAAGCGTCGAGTAGGTGCTCGGACGCAGAGCGCGCGGCACAGCCACACCCGGGTGGCTCCCGCGAAGACAGCTTCGGCGACGCGTCGGCTGTGGTGTGAACGGGTTCGATACTCCTCGATGTCGCTGTTCAGCACTATTGTGGCTTCGTACTGTATGAGGTTTCAGTTATCTTCCAGGTCGTACGCTGAGCGTGCCTTCTTGCTATGTATGCGTGCCTCAGGTTAGGTTTCGGTGTGTTCTTCTTGTGCCGGTTCGAGCGTTCGCGGGTTTCATTGGCTCATCATGTATGCGCGTTTCAATTGTAGAGTTCCGAGATTGGTTTATGACATCATTTGTGTATATGTACGCGGACATCAACGCTGTGGTGTACGAAGGGCTCGGGGAGAGGGAAGAGCGGATAGCGGGGTACAGTAGCGGTCCACGATGCTGCGGGCCACCGTTGCAGCCCACTCCCCAGTTCCGACTGGATCGGGACTGGTAGCAGCCACCTGCCAGCGAAAGGAACATGTTGTGACCGATAGGCTTACAGTAAGATCATCCGCTTCCACGGTGTCGAGAGACGAACGGCTAGGACCGTGCTCATACGGTGGCATGCCATAGTCGCCAGTGAACCATTCCCCGCACGTCCGAGTTCAGCGCGTTCGGCGACGCTCCACAAGGCGGCGCATGCTAAGACCATACGCCTGGGCATCCTCGCGCGTCCACATCTTCAAGTGACCGTCCGAGGCGGCTCTCACGGGTTTCTCAGGCCCGATATCGCGAGTCAACCCCTCGATAACGTTTCCATGCACGTCCCGCTCGTAGAGAGCTTGTCACGGAGACTCGTTGTTGCTTGCTACCCGCAGTGTGCGGAGGGCTGTGTACAGCAGAGGCGTTCATCGTCGTATCTTGCCAGGAGCGCTCGCGAGCGCATGCGAAGCTTGCGCGGTGCAACCAGGCGCGCCTGTGCCCTGGAAGAATGCGCCGCGTCGTCGGATACAGGCGAGCGCGGGTATCGCTTGCCGGGCAACTGTCGCGAGCGGGGTTGACCAGAGTCGCACCAGGATGCACACACCCACTGGGCGTGATGGGGCTGCCGGTTGTAACAGTGTCGGCTTGTTCTTCCTAGGGATATCTGCTATGATGATCACAGTCAACAAGGGTTAAAATACAGCAAGCAAAGATCACTGCACCAGCGTTGACATCTGGTATGCGCTCGCACGGTACGCTCTTGTCTGCGTCTAGAAGTTCCTCCTCGGTCTCCCATAATGGTGGAATCCACAGCTCCAGTCCCTCCAGCTGCACTTCGTCCGCAGAGATCTTGCACCGCCCGTCGCATCCCTCGCCTCGGCCGTGACAAAGCTCGCCGGGTGCGTTATATGTCGTGATGCGTTGAATGAGTAGCGTCTTCGGGCTGCAGCGACGGAGATATAGCACTGGTCTATGATGAAAGTGTGCGAATAGAACTTGTGGGACTGCGGTGTGGGGCCATGCCTACTGCTCTCGAGTGAGCGAAACCGGCGCGCTTTTTGCCACTAAGCCCGTTTGAGACAGCGAGCTCGCTCAGGCTCGTAGAGAGTTGAGCCAAGGCGTTGCGCGGGTGGCGCGATTGAAATTGGCTGTCCCTCATTCGTGGGTGGGGAGGTGACGACGGCCCTATCCTCTCTGCATCCTCCAAGTAGAGCACGATGGCCTCGGCCGCCGTGTTCGAGCAAGCTTGACGTTCCCAGCTGTTAAATTCATGATTTCGTGCATGGATATGACCGGTGTATTTGCATTGTGAAGGCTGGCGAGGACGTTGGAGGTCGAGAGAGAGATGGCGCGTCGTGGTCGTGAGTGAAGAGCGTACATGTACAGCTTCCGCGACGGCGGGCCGCCGGACACCCGTCAGCTTCCACGGCCGCGGGCCAATTCTCTACCCTTACCTCCACCACCACCACCACCACCACCACCATTTGCTACAATGATGATGACCTGATAGTTTCTAAATGAGCGCAATGTGCGGACCTGTAGTCGTGAATACCGTGTCCTGCTTACAGCTAAGACTGCGGCACTTCGCCTGCTTTATACTCGCGATTAAGCACGTAGACGCGCGCTATCGTCTCGTCCAGTGCGGCGCCCATCGTCAACCCACCTCGCCGTCGGCTCCATCTACGCGTCACCTGTGTCGATGTGAGGGTGGCAGGAGAGCGTGGACCCAGCGGTGCTCAAAGACTCTGAACGAATGAAGACCCGACGAGCGGTCTCCCATCGAGTCATCCTTGTTCTCGTACGAGTGGTGTCTTGTTGTCATCGTAATACACCTAGCCGCAGAACCTGCCACTCAGCGCTCGTACGGGCTGGCTCGGTACGTACCTTGAATCGGTTTTTTCCGATGATATCATCTAACTCGCGCTTTGTAGCTTCTACCATTCGTATCGACGGCATCTTCTCAGGCGATTTCATCAAGATACGGGGATAGCGCGTGAACAGTGTCGCGGTATTCAAGGTACGCTTATGAGTGCTGTTATCCTCATTCAGATTCATGCTCATCAGAGGTTATGACCTTCCTTCCTTCCTCCCAGATCGTCGCGCGTCTGCTGGAGCCGTATATCGTGCGAGTTGGTGTCACGACGGCAATTCCTTATCCAGCTACGTATGCATTGATAGGATAGTGCCCGCGTTTATCACCGCGGTGCTTCACAGCACTCAAACTGCAACGAGACCGTCGCGTGAACTCCTTACCGTGCACGTTCTCTCAAGCGTTGCCACTATAAAGCAATGCACACGCTCATTCGTGCACCGTTCCGTCTCAAAGCCGCCGCGCGGGCAACGATTGCGTGAACGCGGAGACGTACCTGATATCATCTGAAAAAGATAGTCCACTCTACGTGGAGGTATATATGCCGCGCATTCGACCCACACGCTGAGTCAACAACATTTTATCCAAGCGCGATGGCAGCCACCGACCCGTCATATCCTCTATACCTCATCGCCTGCCTCTTGGCTTCAGCGATGCTGCTTCTAGTGCTCTTGACCAGCTTCATCCGCCAGAGCTGGAATCTCGGCGTTGTCTTTCTCTGCTTCTGGCTCTTCTGGGAGAACCTGGCCGATGGCATCGGTTCCATTGTATGGGCCGATAACGCCGATATCAAGCTGTACATATATTGCGACATCGGTCAGTACATGTTCAATGGGGCGGTCCATTCAGCCCACGCACCCCATCTGACGTCATATTGAGCAGTATCTCACTTGCAACAGATCACTTCGGTTGTCAAACCTATGGCTACTCTCATCATCACTCGCCGACTATATCTGATCACCAGCCTACGTTCCATAGAGCCACCTACAAAGGCTGCGGTGAGTTGCAGTGCACAACCTGCTCGCTTCATCTTGACTTCAGTATCAGAGACATAGAAATCTTGCGATCGAGTGGGCGCTCGGTTTGGGCATTCCTCTTCTAGTTGCGGGACCATTTTGTGAGTACGTCCATGACTCGAGTGTCACCGCGTGCGCTCAGTGCGCCTGGAGACTATATCGTCCAGGGAGCTCGATTTGAGGTTAAAGAGGGGGTTGGCTGCACCAACGCGCCCGAGAGTTCCATGCTCAGCATCTTGCTTCTGAATTCATGGAATGTGCTACCTCCTCTGGTGTCCATCACCGTCTACTATCGTGCGTCAGGTTCATGTTGTACGGTTGCTCTTCGATCGTGCAATGCTCATACCTCATACTCCAGCGCATGTAGCTCGAGTCTTCTATCGCCACAACCGGGAGATCAATCAGTTCTTACAAAGCAACAACCCCGTATCCCGCACGAACTACTTTCGCATTCTTGCCCTTGCATGCATCGATATTCTTCTGACCTTGCCTATGGGCATTGTGACCATCGTCTTGCTCGTGAAAAACGATCTGTCTTTCGGTCGCTTCCCGTTCTACTATGGCTGGACCCCTGACCACACGGACTGGCAACCGGTGAACTACTCCTATGCAGACATAACGTCCGGCGGGCCTTTCGATGTAGCATACTTCCACTTCACTAATTGGACATCCCCCGTCCTCGCGTTCGCCATCTTCGGCCTCTTCGGCGTCACATTGGAAGCTCGTGCGTCGTACTGGCGCGTAATATGCACCGTCTGCGGCTGGTTCGGCTGGCAACCCACACCTCGCGCGCACAGGGCGCGTTCGCCGCTGGGCGATATCGAGTTCGGCGGGCGTCCTGCTCAGAACTCGATGTCGCTGGGTCTCGAGTACGCCCACCCCGTGCATCTACAAGACATTGGCTGACGATCATGCATTAGGTTGAATCCAAGCTACGTCGACCGCAACGCGCACGCGCAAGGCCAGGTCGCCGAGAGCGCATGTGCAAGCGGTGACACTGGCATCAGGAGTGAGTCGGAGAGGGACGAGGTCGAGAAAGTGCACCGTTCTGCGACGTACGTAGCCTCTCATACTGGATCCGTCGGGTGTGAGCTGAAGCGTCGAGTTAGGTGCTCGGCCGCAGAGCGCGCGGCACAGCCACACCTGGTCGGCTCCCACGAAAGCAGCTTCGGCGACGCTTCTGTCGTGGTATAAATGGGTTCGCTACTTGTTGATGTCGCTGTTCAGTACTATTGTGGCTTCTTACTGTACGTCGAGGTCTCTAACAACTGCCAGGTCGTACTTCGAGTATGTCTTCTTACCATGTCTGCGTCCCTCAAGTTCGGTTTCGATGTGTACTACGCGTCCCGGTTCGAGCGTGCGTTCGCGGGTTGGATTGATTCGTTATGTATGCGGGTCTCAGTTGTAAAGTTTCGAGATAGGTATATGACATCGCTTCTGCATATGTACGCGGACATCTGTATTGTGGTGTACAAGGGCGGGTCGGGGATCGCGAACATGACGGGGTAGTACAGTAGCGGTCCTTCGCGCTACAATCGCATGCCATAGCCACAAGTGAGCCGTTCCAACACATCCGAGTTCAGCACTCGGCCCTCGCGGCGCATGCTATTGCCATACGCCTGGGCATCCGCTCGCGACCACATCTTCACGTCATAGTCCGAGGCGGCTCTCCCGGGTCCGTTATATCCGGGTTCGCGACCGCAACGCATGTTGAGAGCGTTGCCGAGCCCAGCTCGCTGGCATCGAGCTTGTCACGGTATTCGCCGTTCCTTTGTCGATCTTCGAGCAGCGCATGCGGGTTTTTCGTGCTCTACCCAGGCGCACAAATGTTCGAAGAGACTGCGCGGCGTTGACAGATACAGGCGAGCGCGGGCGTCGCTTGCGGGGTCTGTCGTGAGCGGGGTCGACCGGAGTCGCACCAAGGTGCACACAGTTATTGGGCATGATTGGGATGCTGATGACGGCAGTGTCGGCTTGCTCGTCCTAACACATCTGCTATAGTGAGCATGGTTAGCAAGACTTCAAATTAAGCGAACAGGAGACGTCCGTACTCGCGTCATCGTCTTTAACGCGCTCGCGTAGTATGCTCTTGTCTGCGTCTGCAGGTTCTTCCACGAGTTTACAATACTCGCGGAGTCCACAGCTCCAGCTCCCCCAGCCGTACGTCGCCCCGTGGACACCTCCAATCCCGATATCATCTCCGATTGGCTCACATGCATCGCCGTTGCATCCCGTCTCGGTTGTGTTGAAGCTGTAGTCGGGTGTATTTGGATGTCGTTAAGACGCGTAGAGCGAGTTGCGTTCTCGAGTGCTGCACCGAGGCTCTAGCACTGGTGTATGATGAGAGTGCACGAATGCAGTAGAACTGTATCGTGGCGCCCTCAACCGAGTGGTTCTCAGCATCCCCATTGCGCTCGAATGGGCGAAACCGGCGCGCTTTTTGCCACTAAGCCCGTACTAGACAGCCAAATTCTTCAGGCTTGTATAGAGAGTCAGTGCAAGGCGCTACGCACGTAGCACTATTGACATCGGCTGTTCTTCGCTCGCGGGTGGAGGGCTGGCGGTGGCTCAAGTAGACTGCGATGGCGTTGGCTACTGTGTTTAAACAAGCTTCATGTTCCCAGATACGGAATGCATATTTCCGTGCAGATGTGTGACTGGTCTATTCGCATTGTGAAGACTGGTGCGCTGAAGCTCGAGAGAGATGGCGCGTCGTGGTCGTGAGGAAAGAGTGCACGCGAGGGCGGGCCGTGCTTGCCACCTAACACCCGGCTTCACGGCCGCGGACCAATCTCCGACCCTTACCACCACCACCACCACCACCACCACCATCACGATATGTAGCAATGATCATGATCTTTTCATATCTAAAGCGACGCAATGCGCGGAGCTGGAGTGGCCTTCTGCAACTCGAAAACCGATCGAAACGGCATCTAACTACGTTGGGGCGATTATTTTCCCCATCTCTCTCGAATAGCGTCTCGTTGCTCTGGCTTCATTGTAGCACATCAAGCCGCAGATCTCAGCGCTCAATTTGTACGATCAAATAGGTACGTACCTTGAGTTGAATCTTCTCTTCCCTCAATGATACCATCTAACTGGCGCCCATTCGTATCGACGGCATCTGCTTCAGCCAATTTCATCAAGATGCGTGCATATGTGTGCTGTTATCTTCATTCAGATGCTTCCTTATTACTGATGCCGACCTTACTTTCTAGATTGTCGTCGTTCTGCTAGAATTGTCCATTGTCCGAGATGGCGCAGTTACTGTAATTCATGTCCTTGTCCGACCTACGTATTCATCGATGGGATTAAGTGCCCACATCAGTCACCGGTGCCTTTCGATACCCCAAAAGGCAACGATCTACTCGCTTGAACCTCTTTTCGTACACATATTCTCAAGCGTCGCTGCTACGAAGCCATGTGCATACTCACTCGCGCTTTTGCGTGTGCAGTGGCTGCCTGGACTTGGAGACGCACTTGATATCGTTACGAAACGATCGTCTACTCGACGTGGACGCGATATGGTTTACGTCTCTCGATGTCGCTGCACATCGTGCACGACAGGTATATATGCATCCGACTCATAGACTGAGTCCGAGTCGACAATATTCCATTCAAGCACTATGGCAGCCGCCGACCCGACATATCCCTTCTACCCCGTCGCTTGCCTCCTGTCTTCGGCGATGCTGCTCCTTGTACTGCTGACCAGCTTTGTGCGTCAGAGTTGGAACCTCGGCGTTGTCTTTCTGTGTTTCTGGCTCTTCTTCGAAACCCTTACCTTGGGCATCAACGCTATCATATGGTCCCACAATGCCGACGTCAAGCTGTATGTGTATTGTGACATCGGTCAGTACACCTTCGATGGGACTGTTCATTCACCTAGACTCTCCATCTCACCTCACATTGAGCAGTCTCACACCTGCAGATAATCACTTCGGTTGTGAAACCTATGGCCACTCTGATCATCGCGCGCCGATTGTATTTGATTACCAGCCTACGATCCATAGAGCCTCCTACAAAAGTGGCGGTAAGTTCCATTCACGATCTACTCTGGCCATTCTGAATACGGTCACAGAGAAGCAGAAATCTCGCGATAGAGTGGACTCTCGGGTTCGGAGTTCCTCTCCTCGTTGCAGGACCACTTTGTGAGTGATGTCCATATTTCGGATGTCACCACTCGCGCTCAGCCCGCCCGGAGACTACGTTGTCCAGGGTGCTCGATTTCAGGTTGACGAGGGTTGGGGCTGCAGTGATGCCCCCGACCAATCAATACTCACCGTCTTGCTTCTTAATTCATGGAGTGTGATACCACCCCTGGTGTCCATCACTATGTATTACCGTGCGTCAGGCCTATTTTATATGACCGCCTGTCGATCTCGCAGCACTCATGCCAAGCACTTTAGCTCATGTGGCCCGAACCTTTTATCACCATAATCGGGAGATCAACCGGTTCCTACAGAGCAATAATTCGGTGACCCGCCCCAACTACTTCCGCATTCTTGCCCTCGCAAGTATCGATATTCTGCTCACCTTGCCTGTGGGCATTGCGACCATTGTCTTAACCGTGAAAGACAATTTGTCTGTCGGCCACGTCCCATTCTACTATGGCTGGACGTTAGACCACACGGGCTGGCAGCCGGCGAGCTTCTCCTATGCAGACATAGTGTCCACAGGGCCTTTCAATGTAGTGGACTTCTACTTCGCCAGATGGACATCACCCGTCCTCGCGTTCGTCATCTTCGGCCTCTTCGGTCTCACATTGGAGGCCCGCGTATCGTACTGGCGCATCCTCTGCACCGTCGGCGGCTGGTTCGGCTGGCAACCCAAGCCTCGCGCTCACAGGGCGCGTTCGCCGCTGGGAGATATCGAGTTCGGCGAGCGTCCTGCTCAGAATTCTCTGTCATTAGGTCTTGAGTAAGCAGCTTGTACCTCCGCAAACGTATATAGCTGACGACGACGTGCTAGATCAAACCCGAGCTACATCAACCCCAATGCGCGCGCGCAAAATCAGGACGGTGGAGAAGGAGGCATCGTGGGCGATGCAGAGAACGGTTCGGAAGAGGATAAGGATGCGATAGAGGAAGTACGCCTGAGTACTGCCGAGGAGACGTAAGTAGTCATTCGACATCGTGCGTACTGAGTATCGCTGACGTGTCGGGTAGGTACGGCAAGCGCCCGACGCAGCCTTCCGCGTCTTCCCAGGCTGGCTTCGATGATGCTCCGGTCGAGGTGTAGGATGGCGCTGGGCTCAGACTGGATGGTCTCTATGCAGCAACCCTGCGACTCCTCGCCGCGCGAGATCACTCATAGTTCGGTCACTTCGTCTTTGATCCATATGTATTATACGTCTTCGAATCCTTTATATATTATTAGTACTACATACCGATCAGGATTATTAATATCGTGCTACAAATCCCCCGATAATCGGCAAAAGATTGTAGTGTACCAGAACGTAGACGGAGCGCGGTGATCCGTATGCAATGTGGGAAGTCTGATGCGATGTGGCTGACTGGCGAGACGAGGGTTGAGAACGTCGAACATTGAACAGGCGCCCATGGCGGCCCAAGCTGGCCCAAGGCCATCAATACGCGGCACGTGCGTTCATTCCCGCGCGAACACTCCTTCGTCCCCCAGCAATTTGACGGCTCGAGAAAGCTCCTCTCGGGTGTCGTAGTTCCAAATTGGCTCCCACTGAAGATCAAGATCTTTACGGCGGCCTTTGTCACCGGGGCCGCTTGGGCCATGGCCTTGATATATGTCCCCGGCGCGCTTACTTCCATTGGCAACGTAGGCCGCTCGTGGAACACGGACAACGTTGTACGCGCGAAGAACGTCCTATCGGCATGGTTAGCTCAGGGGGAAGACAAAAAGAGGGCTGGGAGGGAAACGCACAGACAAGTTGGCATGTTTCGTCTGCGGGTGCGCGAGCAAGCTCGTGAGCACATACGCGCCCTCGATCCCGACGCTGGCTCCCGCACCCAGATGGGAAAGCATCGCATGTGCCGCATCGCCTACGAGCACTACGTTGATCCTGCTGGCGGCCCCTCCGTCCTCAGACTTTGCGGAGAAGACATGGCTCTCGAGGGGCGGATACAGGCCATGCATCGCCCACTTGGTAGGCTTCTCGATGCATTCGAAGATTGCGCGTACATCCGGTCCGAAGTCTTTGAAAGCCTCGAGAACGTCCTCGCGAGTTGCAGGCTGTACCCAAGTCACCCAAGACGCCTGCGGTCCCGCGGGGACCATTGAGTGGGCGAGGTCGGTTGTCAGAGCGGAGATGTTGAGCATGGTGCCGTTCATGATCGCGTAGGTGATGATGTGCTGCGTACATGGGTCAGTCTAAAGGACAGCATAGCAGAGTGGGGGTAAGGTGTACATGCCTTGTCCAGGCCAATGTAGCCGCGCGGCGATGGCTTCAGCAAGTCCTCCAGGAACTCCTTACGGATATTGGCGTCATGCAGGCGCTGGACGGGAATCAAAGCCCTGTAAGCGCTTGTCCCTGTGTCCACGAGCCTGTCTGCATCTTCACCGATGACTGTCATGGAACGGATAAGATCAGCCATGCCTTGTTGTCAATGGGATAGCCGTCACGACTGACCCTGTGTGCGAACAACGCTCTTGATGCCGTCCGCACCGATAACTACATCTGCCTCGTGCACAGTATCATCTGTAAAGCGCAAGCGCACACGGCCTTCTTGATCCGTATATACGGAGACGCAACGCTTGTTGAAGTGCGAGCGGGCGTTAGTCGGTAGCAAGTGAGAGAGAACGTCCAGGAAAGCAGCACTGGGTGGTACGTCAGAGTAGTGAGTGTTTCATTCTAGCAGTTGTCATGAACAACATACCGGTGAAATACAGCACCCATATTGCCGTTCTTCCCGTCGACATCTATAGGGTACTGTAAATAATCATCAGCCAATGAACGAACTTGATGCAAGAGACTCTGAGCTCACGTCGTAAATGACATCGTGGGGTTCCGTCCCGCGCACGAACTTGAACGAGCGGCTGGCTGTGCCCATGCTCTGGGAGTGAGCTTTGACTTCCTCCAGAATACCCATTCCTTCGAATGAGCGCATGGCATTCGCGCCTAAAGCATGGTCGTCAGTACACATCTACTCGGCGGCGGGACCTTAAGGACGTACCAATGCCTATACCAGCACCAATCTCCTCATACTTGGACTGGATATCAAGCGTCAGCGAGTGTGCACTCAAAGCGATGAATGTACGTACAGCAGCCTCAAAAACGTCGACCTCAACGCCTGCGCGAGCAAGCCCGACAGCGCATACAAGTCCTGCGATGCCTCCTCCTACGATCGCAACAGTGAAGTCCTTGTTTGAGCTCATGTCGGGCAATTTAACGAGAGGATGAGGTTGCTGATGCAGGGGCGTGCGTCAAAAGTCAGGCCTTTCTCGTTGCATTTCATTGGCAACTCTTAAGAGGCGTATTGGCGGAGCGAGCCTTTGACCTGGGCTGGACGGTAGGCAGACCAACGCGTTCCTTCGGCAGGAGAGTACATGTTGCGCACAAGCTAGAATAGCCATGACGAGAAAACCTGGAATGAGAACTCCGAAGGAGCTGTAGTGAATGGTGGCCGGGATTCCATGCCTGTGTGACTTGTATCCACTAGAAGGCCGCCTTCGGTGGCAAATAGTTCGGGCAACCCACTACGGGGCCGACAAGAATGGCAAGGCAACGGCCAGACTTGTCTGCGAGGGTCGGCTCTTTGTAGACTGCATTACGCCCCGTTAAAGCTTTCCATCAAGTTGAAGGCGAAGAGGGAGAGAGATCCACGTTGCGAATGTGGAGGCCGCACTCGCTGTGACATATATTCATGACCGTTCATCAAGCCGAAGTTGTACGAATGGAACCGGCAATGGGCAATGTTACAAGGATAGTGAGGATGGTGGTGGACAGAGGCGAGCCGCGCTAGTGACGGCGCGGCTCGACGCCATGCGCGTGGGACTTGCCGCCGTGCGCGTCAGTCCTGATTTCCGAGAAGTTCGCTTTAGCGCTCGCAACCATGTTCAGCAGCTTGGACTCATGCACGATACTTCATTATGTGCTATATACATCCCGAACGCGAGTTCGAAAGTGATGACTCACAATAGGCTTCCTTGTACAGGAACTGCGAACATTTCCAGCTGGTCGAATACCCCGCCTTCCTCGAGCGCAGCGACAGCTCTCTCGACGTCTTCCTTGATCCCATAATTCCATACTTTCTCCCATTGCGACTCAAGATCGTCCCGACGTCCTGAGGCACTTGGTCCACTGGGACCGCGCCCGTGCATCACCTCGCCGGCGCGTCTACTCCCGTTCGCGATGTACGTCGCGCGTGGGACCCGGACCGAGTTGTACGCGCGCAAGACATACTGCGCAGGTGGGATCAGCTTCGAGCACCTATAAACAACATCGTAGACTGAAACGCACCGATAGGTTCTTTCGGCTAGTCTGTGGATGAGCGAGTAGACTCGCTATGACATACGCATCCTCGATACCTGCACCCGCACCCGCACCAAGGAACGGCAACATCGCATGCGCGGCATCACCGATGAGCGCGACGTTCACCCCACCATCCAGCCGCTTCTCCTCTTCCTTTGCTTGTGCGGCGCCGACGTAGCTCTCAAGCGGCGGATACAACCCGTGGATGGACCACCTGGTCGGTTCTTTGATGTGCTCGAGGATCGTGCGAGCGTTCCGTCCAAAGTCGCTGAAAATATCGAGCATTTCGGCTGGCTGAACCTTGGCGACCCATGCTGGCCATGATGCTTGTGAACCTGCAGGTATCATGCTGTGGGCATAGTCGAAAGGGCACGCCGCGACGTTCAACAGCTTCCCATCCATAATGGGGTATGTCACAAGATGCTATATCGGTATCACCAGCTCGGCTTTCTCTGCGAATGATGAATGGGAGATATGTACGCACTTTGTCTGCTCCCATCCAGAGCAACGCTGACTGTAGGGTTTCCTCTGGGATACCAGCCTCCAGTAGATCCTTTGTGGGCACTTGGCCTCGGTAGGCGCAAGCACCTGTATCGACAAGACGCTCGTCTTCCGACCCGAAGACTGGATGCCATCCAGTTTTAGCGACACGATAAGTACCACGAGGAAGACAGAGTCGGCGCACTCTCAGTTCTCACCACGCTCTTGATGCCATCCGCCCCGATCACAACATCTGCTACATGAGCGCTTCCGTCGGCGAAGTGCAAGCAAGCGCGCTCGCTACCGTCAGACGCTGCGCGGACGGCGACGCATCGTTTGCGAAGATGAGAATGAACGCCGTCGGGGAGGATGCTTACGAGTGCGTTGACGAACGCCGCGCTGTATGGAGGTACTCAGTGTTTCATCAAAGTGGGCGCGACCTGAGAGCATGTGCGGCGTACCGATGTACTGCTATTCCTTGTTCGTCCGACGTATTCGGATACTTCGAGTAATGCACGCCCATGAGCTGAATGAACTCAACCATAAGGTTACGCACAACGGTAGCGCACCTCATACACGAGGTTATGCGGCTCTTGACCCATGATGAAGGTCCAGGGACGCGTGGGCGGCGCGCTGTCTTCCGAACGCGCGCGGACCTCGTCCATGATCCCCATGTCCTTCAGAACGCGGACAGCATTGGGCCCGATGCCCACTCCAGCGCCAGTATCACCGTACTTGCTCTGTATCATCGTGAACACTCAATCATTCTCTACTTCTTCGGTCAGACAGCCACGTACGGCGGACTCAAAGACGTCCACTTGTACTCCTGCGCGGGCAAGCCCGATGGCACATATGAGACCAACGATACCGCCGCCGACGATGGCCACATTGAAGTCTTTCGTTGAGTTCATTGTAGTTCACTTGAGCACGGGTGGCACGATATGGCAATCGGGGTGGAAGAGAGGGATTCAGGCCGCGAGTCGCAGAAGCCAGTATTGTATGTGTGTAGAAGATAGAGCTCGGACTCTCGGAGAACGGTCACAGACCGAGGGCGAGTCTTCTTCTGGTCGGGAGAGTAGAAGGCACATCTCACGCATTGCTGGACACATGGTCGACAGAGAGCTGATGACACTCTCAGAAGCTGTATGGGCTCCATACCACACAACGTCCATGCCTTCCCGCGACAATCGTACGCATACAAGTGTATATCCGTCCTCGAGCAACTCAATCACGTCCGAATCAAAGCCTCGCCTGCACCCTCTCATGCGCAGGGCCGAAGAATACTCCCCTTGCAACAAGCGCCCCGATAGCCCTCTGCACGTCTGTCTGAGCATCATGCTCCCACACCCTTTCCCACTGCAGCGTCAGATCTTTCCTACGTCCTGCATCGGACGACCCGTTCGGCCCGCGACCCTGATACGCGTCTTCAGCTCGTTTACTTGCATTGGCGATGTACGCTCCGCGTGGGACGCGCACGCTATCATAGGCGCGCAGGACCTCCTGAAAGAGAGTCGGGTCGGGATCAGCAGGTACAGGCGGGATTGGGAGTGATAGAGTTGACCCACGTTTAGGTTTCGGCGCTTCGTCTGCGGATGGGCGAGTAGACGCGCGAGGACGAAGGCGTCTTCGATCCCGGCCCCCGCTCCTGCACCGAGATGCGGCAACATCGCGTGCGCCGCGTCGCCTACGAGCACCGCATTCACTTTCATCATTCCCGGCCTATCCCTAGATTCTCCTTCGGTCCTCGCACGCCCGACATAGGTGTCCATTGGAGGATACATCCCATGGACGGCCCACTTGCTCGGCACGTCTATACAACCAAGTATCGCCTTGGCGTCGGGTCCGAAGTCTGAGAAGGCAGAGAGAACCTCAGAGAGAGGCGCGGGAGAGACCCAGGTCGACCAAGAGGACTTGGGGCCCGCAGGCTGCATGGGGCGCGAACGGTCGGTAGTGAACGCCGCGATGTTGAGCATCGTGCCAGAGGAGACGGGATACATGATGATATGCTGTAGGATGTGGCGCGGGATATCAGTATGACGGACTTGAAAGAAGGTTAAGGGAAGCAGGGACCACCTTGCCGTTGCCCATCCAGCATCGCGCGTGAGGCTTGAGCAACTCGGGATCGACGCCTGCATCTAAGAGCTGCTGCATAGGCACCAGCGTTCGATATGCACAACAGAGCGTATCGACGAGCCGATCATCTTTATCGCCAAGTGCTGCATATTGGTCAGCATCACTCGCCTTCAACCCGATTCAGAGTTGCGAGGGGTCCATACCGTGTGCACGAACAACACTCTTGATCCCGTCCGCACCGACGACGACATCGGCTATATGCTCGGTACCATCCGCAAAGCGTACTCGAGCCCGTCCGTCGGGCATAGTGGAGACTGAAACGCAGCGCTTGTTCAAGTGGCTCTTTACGTTCGAGGGTACAACGCGCAGAAGCGCATTCAGAAAAGCTGCTCTAGTGCGAGTATAAGCCATACATTTATGTCAAAGGTGTCGGTCGGGTAGTCGGGTATACTTACCTGTGCACGGCGAGGCCTTGATCCTTTCGCTTATCAGAGGGGTACTAGAGACCTTATTAGACTTTTACCCTCTATTCGGTCTCGAGCAAAGGATAGCGCGCCTGGTACACGACGTGATGTACGTCTTCGCCTCTGACGAACGTCATAAGGCTCTGATGCGGCCCTTGGTCTTCGAGTACAGACTCGATCTCATCGGCGATGCCCATATGTTTCAGCACGCGCAGTGCGTTCGGTCCTTCGAGCGGTTAGCAACGAGTTCGGCGACGTCGGCTTGTGGAAGCGGACGCACCGATCCCGACACCGGCGCCAATATCGCCGTAGCCTGACTGGTACGTCACGACGTCAGAGAGCATAGAGTTACCTTCGTGTACGGAGTACATACAGTAGCTTCAAAGACGTTGACTGGTATGCCCGCCCTTGCGAGCTCGATGGCGCATACGAGTCCTACAAAGCCACCTCCGACGATGGCGATGGTGAAGTCCTTCTGTGAGCACATGGTGGAGGAGACAATAGTGACCCTCTTCGGAGCGAATGAGATGAGTTGAGTACAATGCGGTAGAGTATGGGCGTAGCGTCTTCTTAAGAAGACCTTGAGCTTCGGAGTTGTAGTGAGTATCGTTCCGGCGGCATGAGAAGACGAGGAGCGCAATGTCGCCACGAGGAGTATGGCCACCTTCGCAAAAGTACAAGAGTCGACACATGACAGGATCAGCCTGTCCTTTCACGTATACAGGCGCACGAAGAACATCCGAAAACATCGCAGGGTCACGCCAGTGGTGAGAGGATATCATGGCGAACCTGCCGGGCGATTGAGTAGGACCGGGGTGTTATCAGTGGTCGAGAACCTTCTTGTGGTCGGCGTACAATCTAGCTCAAGAATTACCCAGATAGGTAGAGCAGAAGGGACCAGGGTGAGGCGGTGGCGGAGTTGGGATGACTGTACGATCGTCCGGACGTGGCGTCGTCCGACCATGGATTTGTCGTTGATTCTCTTGTGACAGGACGCGGCGTGTAGAGGGCGTGTCAATCGCTCCTAGCAATGATATATTAGCAAATGCCAATGAGTAGCCCGGACCGAGGCAGCTGAACACAGCCAGCTGCGGCGGTGACGTTGACGATACTGTGTATATGGTAAGTCAGTTGCCAATCAAGGAGTCGAATTGACAACAGCGTTACATACCCGCAAATCCACCCACAGCTCCAGTATATCTCCACCAATACCACCACGGCGCTACAAGTACGCTCATTCGGGGCTAATAACTCGAAGCGGCGGGAGGTTGGAGTACCATCTAGAAGTAGCAAAGCGGGCAGACGCCACGGATCTACTGTCCACTTCCTTCTCCCGACCAGATAACAGTCCCAGGGCAAGGTTTTTCCTCAACTGTAAATATATTCGAAGTGCTACTAAGTCCCACTCTGAAGGGAGACAAACGCAGGGAATCATTGGTCTCGATGGCGGTCAGGTGAAACAGGCCGACGTGACCTCCGAAGTCCGAACAGTGATGGTAAGCACGTGCTCGGACCGCGTTCCGCCGATCCGCGTTTAAACGCCGAACGGTCTGCCAATTCAAGATTCTCTCCGGTCGCTTCTAAGGGCGACCAGCATAGTGGGAGGAAGTGGTGCATTGGGCCCTGGCCAGAGTCCTCACATCTGCACGAGGTTAGATCATGGCGTGCAAGACAATTACGATACTAGGATATGGATATGCAGCATATGCATTTTCCTACAAGGGACGTCAGGCAGGCGCACTCAGATTCTTTCTTTAATAGCACGCAGCCAGCTTATAGAGATGGTGATGTGATCACGTATGAAATCCCCGTATTCGCATTCCTTGCACGTAGACTGTGATGAGACTTGGTCAATGCATATGCGTATACCGTAGTATTGGCCGAGCACGAAAGCTCGTAGCGGTCCTCTAAGCTTTCCGTCACGCGGGTGCTCAATCAACGCTCCAGTGCGCCCCAGTGTAGCCACCGGTGATCGGTCGACCAGATTACGCAAATCGACGCGAGTATACAACAACATTTGGATACAGCAGCACGATACATACCAGAAATCCCATTGCAGATGACGGTGATAGCGATGCGAGAGATCTTCATGATGCATATGCTTTTGATGTAACAGAGAAAAGGCGAGCATAAGAACACAGTGGGTAGTCGCACATGCACACATAGAAAAACAGACACCCGTCTGACGAGAGATAGTGCGAAACGCTTAGTCCCAGCCGGAGGGCTGAGCGGCGTCCCAGTTGCCCGCTGCGGGCTCTGCGGACCAGTCGGTCGGGCCGGCGGCCTCCGCGGACCAGTCAAGGCCTGGAAGAAGACGATATGAGTGAGAGGTTCGATATAATCACTGTTGAGATATACGTACCACCCTCCTGGGCGACGAGAGCGGGGTTGATACCGCCGGGTGCCGATGCACCTCCGACATCCCACTCGGTAACGGCCGTGGGCTCAGCCTCACCGGCAGCAAGTGCCTTCTTGGCCTCAGCCTCCTCCTGCTGCTGCTTCTCGACCTCCTCAGGGTCACGGTAGAAGAACATGTCGACCATGACGTTCCAGCCGTCGGGAGTGCGGGGGATGGTACCGCGGAGACGGAGGACCTCACGGGCGAGGAGCCACCAGATAAGACCGATCGAGTGGCGAGCCTTGTTGTTGGTGGGGATGGCGACGTCGACGAACTTGAGGGGCGCGTCGGTGTCGCAGAGGGCGATGACGGGGATGTTCACGTAGGACGCCTCGCGGATGGCCTGGTGGTCCACCCGGGGGTCGGTCACGACGATCAGGCGGGGCTCCTTGAACGAGCGCGTGATGTAGTTCGTGAAGCTACCCGGGGTGAACCGGCCCGCGATCGCCTGTGCGCCCGTGTTGGCGGCGAACTTGAGGACCGCGCGGTGACCGTACGGGCGCGCGGAGATCACGCAGACGTCGTTCGGGTTCTCAACGGCCGCGATGATGCGTGCAGCGAGAACGATCTTCTCCCACGTCTTGCCAATGTTCAGGACGTGGATACCTAGCGAATAGTTCAAACAAATATACACGCGAAAGCGATAGCTTTACACACCGTCGGCCCTGCGCTTCCAGACGTACGGCTCCATCTGCTTGTCGCAGTTCTTGGTGCCAATATGGCAGTTGGCAGCCAACATCATCTGGATCTCCTCCTCCGTCGCGGAGAGCACGCTCGGCAGTTTTGACGACATGGTGGGCGGCAGCAAGTTAACCTGCAGAGCCAAAGTCCAAAGTCAGCAAAGCCTCATCCAACTCTCGCCGACCGCATCCATCCCCAATCCTTCAACCTCTCCTCTCCAGATCGTAGATAGCGGCGGCGTAGGACAGCATGAACGCACCTGGAAGGTCTTTTGGGGTGCTGGGCGCGGGCGGCGGGTTGGACGTCGTCTAGGATGGTCGGTGCGCTCGACGAGCGGCGCGCGGCCAGAATTGATGATCACATAATCAGCGCGCCGCGACTTGTTCTCGAGACGCGTCCCAGTCGCGACCTGCTCCCGACCACCATGAAGTTCAACGCATCTCTTGTAACTCTGTACCTCCCAATATCACGTATCTGTACTACATGAATGAGCTTGACATGCACGAGCTTTATCTATGGCATGGTGCTGTCGCCCCGTCCGGTAACCAGGCGCCTCGATACATCGAGAGCAGACCCGGCTGCAGATGCATGCGCGCAGGCGTCAACGACCAGTTCAAGTCATCAGTTCGACGGTCAAGTGCTTTGTACTCTGAGTCAAGCACTGCGACAGTATGGTTACCGTGTAGAGTCATCGGCCACAGCGACCTCCGAGGAGTGTGCGCGGTGCGCTGGCGCGGTTCTGCTATCTCATCCCCTCTATTCAAGGGCTATCAGGCAATCAGATTCATTGTCTGAGATAACGTTTACCAGCTTGATCACGCAACAAGTGACAAACGGTAGTATCGCAGCGGACATCCGATGCGCTCGGTACATATCTTGCTTCAGAATCGTAAGTTACTTACGCCAAAGCCCTCCGTGTAACCCGAACTGACCATCGCTCAGCAGATCTTACGCCTCAAAGTCTACCTTAATCAGCATCTTCGCGGCGTCGATGCTGCTCCATTAGTCGTCCCCCGGTCTGAATCCACTCTACGACTTCCCAAAGTAAAGCCGGTACAAGTCGGTCATCTGCATGTCTTTCTACGTGAATGACCGAATGGCCGCTGGAGACGCATCAGTCATCTCTTGTAAGTACATTTACGCGTGGGCTCTTCTGTCCCTAAATGGCAACCAGGCTTCAGAATCCTCTTCTTTCCATTCATTCGGACCGGAGGTGTCTCGAAGTCAACTCCGAATACCGAAGTTCTTAAGACCTCGCTCTTGAACCGTCAGCGACAGGCGCAGAGCTCACCTGTACCGGACCAATAACAACGAGCAATTACCTTCCTGACTACACTCGGACATGAGCTCGTACTCTAAGGACTTCACCATCGCCATCGTTGGCGGCGGGTTCGTCGGACTCGTGTGCGCCATTGGACTCGCGAAGGCGGGCGTACCAGTCGACGTCTTCGAAGCTTCAGTGAGCTCTTCTCTGGCTCACAAAGACCACCTCTACTCACTGTATGTCCCTTCAGTCAGAGTATGGTGCCGTCGGGGCAGGGATTGGCGTCGGTACGTCAAGCTCCTTGCGCAGGTACAACTCACAAGTGACCGTGATACGTACGTAGGGCCGAACGCGCAACGCGTCTTTGAAGCCATGGGAATCATCGACGACCTCAAGGACGTACTCGAGGATCAAGGTCCGCCGCAGAGCCTTTTCACCTTCGTCAAAGGCGAGAACGTACACAACGTCGTCTATCAGGTACGCCTGCACCCTACCTTGTTCTCCGTTGATGGGGATGACTAATGATCAATCGTAGTATCCTTCGGACAAGCGAGAGGACCAAGGATTCGCCGTTCATCGGTGAGGAGATGCCATCCACGCGTACCAGTGATATCTACTGATGCGGTCGTCGTCCGAGCAGCGGTCTGTTTCTTAAAGCGCTCGCCCAGCTGCTTCCGGAGAACGTGAAGCAGCACTTCAACAAGCGCTGCACAGCAGTCTCGACCACACCGCGCGGGAGCGCCCGTATACGCTTCGCAGATGGCACAGAGCACGTCGCCGACATTGTCATCGGAGCGGACGGTATAAAGAGCGCTGTCCGTGCGTCTAGTGCGTCTGCATCATATCCGCGATCTTGTCTGGGAACGACGGTACTGACGAGCCCTCAATCCTAGGCACCAAGGAGGATAGGCTTGCCAATACGCTTTGTACTGCGTACAGAGGTCTGGTACCTATGCAACGCCTTCTGGACGCAGGCGTTGGTCCCGAGCTCCTCTTGCCTCACGCGCGGTGCTGGATGGGCAACGACAAGGTACTTCGCTCCCATCAACCTCACACACACATTACCGTCCTATTGACACTTCGACCTACGCAGCACATCATAATGTACCCAGTCTCCAACGGCACAATGCTCAACATCGCAGCATTCACAACCGACTACACCCGTCCAATGCCCGCTGCCGGCCCCCAGTCATCCTGGTCGACCTGGGTCTCGCCCACCACGCCCGCCGACGTCCTCTCCGCCTTCTCCGACTTCGGGCCCGCGGCGAAGTCGATCCTGGGGTGCATGGACAGTCCGAACCGATGGGCTGTTCATGGGATGTATCCGCCGAAGCGGAGCTATGTCGGGCATGCCAAGGACGAGCTCGAGGGATGGGCTATGAGGGTGGGGAGGACCAATACGGTGCTCATAGGTGACGCGGCGCATGCGATGTTACCGCATCTT